CTTAATATGTACTTTATAAAGTGATAGCTTATAGAAACAGACCTATAAATATCAATGCTTAGAAATCAAAACGTACGTGAAATTGATACCAAAATATAGAAAAACCTATTATTAACTATAAACATCTCACCGATCCTCTCTTGTAAATTGAAATATTTTTGAGAGAAAAAAAATAGTAAATTGTTCCACAATCAGCACAAGTACTGAGTAAAATAATAGAAAACGCCGAATTGAGACCCTTTTCATTGTTATACACTATCACAAGTGGTTACAACTAAACGTTCTTATACTTAAATACAAATACTCGTATTTCATTTGTTAAAATAACAACAGATTACAGTCGTAACTACTCCATAACTATACAACATATCACAGGGAGGACGTGCCCCTGTGTTCCCGCTGTTAAAATTCCCAAGACGCAATTAACCCGACAACAACATCCTGTAATATTTAGCGAAATTAGTTATAAATATCTTTAAGCCTAACGATTATATGTAAAACAGGGGATTGCTGCTATTTAACGGTAAACATTCTGTAGTTGCGGATTTGTGTAATCTGAAATTTAGTTCCATTTAACAGTTTGTACTTTAGTTGAGATAGATGTGGAAGTACTGCAGAATAATGTTATTTCTCTCTAACACATTAGTGTGAGACAATGATAAACTGAGTACACCGTACTTACTTAGTAAATGAGTGATATATAAGATGTGATTCACACATTTGAACAAGTATTAACTTGTTTCAGGGGTAGAACGAGTGGCACACATTACTGTAATAGTTAAAAGTTCAAAATGACTCAATTTAATTTACTAAACATTTTAAACAATGAGAACAGATTTTTGCTTAAAATACCTTACATTTTAACGCCAAGATTAAAAGGAAACCACGATAATATCGTGCAATTAACGTTACACAGAATTTTAATCATAATTAGGATCGTTCAAGCTGCGTAATTAGGATTACATAAAATATGAAATCGGTTAAACTGGAGCAGTGGCCGTCAATAACAAATACATAAGACCAACCATTGTTTTAATCGCAAGAAAAAAAAACTACATTGTAACAAAACAGTTCAAACGCTCACGAGAAAAAGCTTGCGGCGAATCCCTTTAAGAAAGAAATTAAAGTGTTCCCTTTGACACACATTGAGATTGGAAACATGTACACGTTTAAACAAGTCTACCAGGAAATGGTTCGTACTTATACAAAGGCATTCTTGTATTATACGAATACGTGGCGGAAAAAAGACTATGGATAAAGAACAAGAACTATTGTTGATTATATTTTTTTTTTTTACTTTATATATATAGGTAAGGGTTTCTTTCATGGCACTCGTTAAAGGGTTTCACTGATTATGGAAGTGTTTGTGACGTATCCTACTCGCAGATAGTTGATTAAGGTTCGAGAATCGTTATAATTGATGGAAAGACTCAATGTCGGTGACGGTAAATAGTAATTATAGCTAGTTTTAGTTATTGTGGCAAAAAGTAGCGTAAGTCCTTCCTCAAGAATCGAAGTACCTCTATGCGAAATTTCATTAAAATCGGTTTAGCGGTCTAGCCGTGAAAGTGTAACAGACAGACAGAGTTACTTTCGCATCTATAATATTAGTAGGTATATTCTCTAGTATTTTATTTTGAATTTTCTCATTTTTTTTTTGCTTATTTGTGTCATTTAAGTCACAGCACTTGAACATCTCTTTTGTTAGAATGCTGTTATCATAACGTAGCACCTCGTAGCACTTGTGCTACACAGTCTACGACGGTTCATGGTACCAATTATATTAAATAGACAGACATACTTTCGCATTTATAATATTAGTATGGATTTAATGGTTTTGTATGAAGTGTCTATAAGAAGGGTTTTTGTACGACTTTTTAGAGTAGTATATACTTTGCAAATACTAGGTGTGATCATGTTTGTTCGGAGACTCTTTTTGCATATTACTCTTTGACAGTCAGACATAGAGCGCACATTTAAAATATTTTAAGTATTTAGGTCGTTTATGTAAAATCCGTAAAAATAACAGCTCAAACTACCTTTGAAAATGACAAGGGTTGGCTTGGATTTGATATATGAACGTTCGTACGTTACGTATATTAACAAATATAATAAATGTTATATGACTTGTATAAATTTTAATAAGAACTCTCAAACTGAAGGTTGATAAATTGCCTACTTTGAGTTTTAAAAATGCTTTTAAACCTTGCATGCGCCGATGGATAGAGAGAAAGTTCTGATAAAGTTATGTCACTAACAGTAGAACCTGCTGCGACAGTCTGTGGCTATCTATAGCATGTAGGTTTACTATTTACAAATTTAATTTTTCTTTAGTTCACGTAAGTATGGCAACAACAGAGAAATTAGAACGCTGATTTATCAATTGCATTTTCAAAACTTAACAGGCACATTTATTTGTACGACATAGTTTTTTAAAACACAATGAAACCATTCAAACAACGTATATGTGGTTATTTAAGATGGTACATATAAAAAGTATCATATTATCATATTTTCAAAACTAAAATGATTTAAAAAAAGAATAGTCAATAGACTTAAATACTTTTTTTAGTGTACATCGGTCATAACAATTGATCATCACATCACATCATCGTCATCACATGAACAGCCTTTAACAGTCCACTGTTGGACATAGGCCTCTCACGTAGTTTGCTCCCTTAGTCAGCTCTTACGACACCCACGGGATGAATGGGGGTGGTGACAACCCGTATTCTTAATCCGTCACCACACGGACATAACAATTGATAATAATTAATATTTATAAAAAATTAAAACATTATACAAGAACTTTATTGTTTTAGAGTTTATTGACTTAAGTAATTACATGTAAAACACGTCAGAATGCCCAACTTCATCATCATCAATCATCAACGGCTTTTAGTAGTCCGCTGCTGGACATGGCCACTATATTTTTATCTAGTATATCTCTATACGAGGTTCAATTAGATATAACAATTAAAAGCAGGTTAAAATTTACTTTCGATATTTTTACAAGTTTATATAGTTCAGCTAGTTAGTCATTTTTGTAGTTAGCAAGTTAGTTAAGTAATAACAACACAAGCTGTTAAAAGTGTGTTTAAAAAAGAAACTATGCTAATTAATAATTTGAAAAAATAATTGTTCCAAAGTGTGAAGCACTTCAGAACAAATATTTATTTATCATTTTTACGAGTACTTATTATATGTCTTTAATAAACAATTTCTAAATAGGACTAACATAAAAAAATAAAAGTAGGTAACGCTTCTTTGCTAGGAAGCTACTTACAGCACTTCAACCAAGGTAACTAGTGAGCTTGACAGTTTTCAAACATTGAAGATATTTTATTTTTATGTTATAAACCTCTAAAGTGAGATATGTTGAAGTCAATGATTATACTTACTACTCGTATATCACTGCTTTGATTATTAATCTATGGAATAATAATTAATAATAATTAATGATATGATTTCAGTTTAGGAGTTTAATAATAAATGTAAATATAAGTAATTAATGTAAAAACTAAATTAAAGGAATTTATACTCGTATTAAATGTGTATAAATTAATCTGCATTTCAAGGGTATGTTCAAAAGTGGAGCCATATAAGAGAGTTTTGGAATTCATGAATATTTATAACATTTATTTTAGCTTTATTTTTATTTAATAGCTTAATTTTTTATCAAGAAGTCAGATAAAGTCAAGAACGATGGAGTGGTTGAAAAATCACGTTACCAAGTGCAACTGTGATTTATTCATGTTTTTTTTAGTCTGATAGGACAGCACAATCAAATGCGTAGCTAAAATTAAATAACCATTGGTTTTAAATTTATCATTAATAAAATTAAAAACTATGTAGTAAATAAAAAAATAGTATATTAACTATCGCTGATTAAAATTCATGAACTGTAAAAGAAAGAAGTATTACATACAAATACAAATATATGATATAACTGGCAATTTAAGTAAGTTTTAAAAGATCGATGTTATTAAATTAATACAATCTTAATATAAACATTCAATAACTCTAGCAAAACTTCTGAGTATAAATTGAAGATATTTTGCTCAAGCACCACGCCCGCCCACTTTAAACGACAACGCGACACATTCAGCGAGTTTTACTAACCATTTACTTCGCAAATTTAGACTTAAAATTCAGATGTTAGCGTTCAATCAATCATTTTAGCGATTCACGTCGACGCTGCAATGATACCGAGGTAGCACACCACACTGTTACAAAAGTAACCTATGTACTTATAAATGGGCTCATTTACAATTTAAGCGACAGGGAAACTTGTGACATTTAATCGCGATCGTTCTCCTTGTTTTGCTATGATTGACATTTGTTCCCTCCCTCCATTTACGAACGCACGCCAAGAATATGCTTACAAGTGGAATTGAATTGTATATTATCACTTCATTATGACTTGTTGCTAAGTAAATATTGGCGATACTCGCTTCCTAAGTGTTTGTAGACCGATTGTATTGTTATGATCATGTGCTTATATTAAGAAATATACATAAGTTTCACTTAACGTAGTCGCTAGAATACTCTAGATGCGTAAAAGTAGTTTTCCATTTATAAGAAATTGAGATAAGTATAGTTAGAAATAGGTGTGTCGATAAAAGGGATTGGGATGTTTTATGTAATGACTGTCGTTGGCTGCGTGAATCCGCTCGCTCTACACAGCACACCTACTAGATAACGCCTCTTCGCAATAACAAACGATGACTGTTCTCGATTACGTAAACCAATAGAGAATTTTATAAATATTTCGCTACAAACCAGCGAAAGTTACGACGATCGATAAGAAAAAGGCTTCTATATAGAAAATTTCCGCCGCTAATGTAATGAAAATGTGGCTTTATGGAGCAGATAGCAGTAAACATGATACGGCGCAGTCGCATAAATTGTCTCCCAGCTATTAAATTCCCAGCTATCAGAAAAACGATTATTTACTAACGCATCGGGGTGTTAGTGCGTGTACATGTTTACGCGTGGCGATGCCGGTGGGTCGGTACTTACGCGCCGGGCGAGGGGCGTCGCGCGGCTCGCGAGCTCGGTGCACCGGTCACCTCTTGCACTCCATTGATGAGCGACGGCGGTAAGGTTCGCGGGCGGTGTCGCATGTGTAGGACGGGGCGCGCGAGGTCGCGCGGGCGGGCCGGCGAGCGCGGCGGGACTGGCAGCCGGCGCCCGCCGCACGTGGCCGCTCAGGTATCAATCAATCGATGCGCGGCGCGGCGGCGGCGCGGGCGCTAGCGGGCGCGGCACATTCATGTCGCGCGAACAGCTGACGGCCGAGCCCCGTAAACATGAATCGGTTCACACTCCCCGCGGACCCTGCGTCCCCCGGGCCCCGCACACCCGCGCTCTCTATCCGCCATGACCTACTCTGCGCAGGGCGCTGGCGAACGCGAACGCTTACACCACAACCCGTTCTACGAAATAGGGTGAAAGCTACGGATGTACTTTTTCATATCACTAAACTTAATAGACAATAAATTAAATAATTTGTTTCTCCATCTATGTCCACTTTAAAAATTAATGTACCAATAGGAATTTATGAAAACTTTAACTTTGAAGTTAATTTACTTTCAATAAATGATATGATACTAATGAAGAGATCACACTATTACTCAGTCTAATGATTCCTATTTCTTTTCAAGGTGAATTAGTTATAACTTACATAATACAAAGGCTTTCACTATAATAATTCGAACGTCGTTCAGTCGTTCGGAGGTCGCGGCGCTGCGTGACGGCGCGTGCGTGCAGAACGCTCGTCCTGAAACACCCGATACATCCCGAGCTCAGGACAGTCGGAACAATCCGACCGACGTATCAACTGAAAGGCTGTGTTGTCCTCTCGCAAAAGTATATAAACACATTTAATATTAGCGATACGACTTGTTCCGTACTTAAATTAATTCTATCACTTTAACAATCTACGATACAGATTTTACTAAAAATATCTCGCCTACCAGTCCTAAACATATAATAATAACATCTATTGGGACGAGTCTGCTATGTCAGGAACGTATTACATCTCGTTCCTAACCTTACATTGCAACTGGATTTGACTCACATTTAATTGAATGTTGCATAGCAATGAAAATGTCGTCCATTGTAATATTTTTCATACAGTTCGATTATACTCTACATACTCTTTAAAGAATCATTCTGCTGTCTGACAACCTGACCGGACTGATTCACGACATATAAAATGGAAGCGTGCAGCTTGATCTAACCGGTAAATTTTTAAATTTTTTACTCATATTTTTAAATTTGATAAAAAGGGACGGAATAGTATAACAGAAAGTCGGGGAAGCGTTCGTTATTTCATTTGACCAATGAGCGCGTGCAGTACTAGAGTTGGCTCTCAGATGGTATATGATATGTCGGATGTTACACATCATATGCGAATACTGTAGGCCTCACCTACTCTCCCGGGATAGGGCCTGATTAGGAGTGGTGTCGATTTGGAGAGGACCTCAAATCACATGGTCTGGCTCCTCCAAAGATTTTCCACCTCGTCAACAAAAAAAAGGCCCTACCTTCTCGTTTGTTTTTTCGTCTATTGTATTCCAAATTTCACGTGCCTGTGATCCTGTGATCGTAGTGTGATCGTAGTGTGAAGTATTCCTAAAAAGGAACACAAAAATGTTTCGTCACATCACACTAATACTGTTCAACCGCAAAAATTTAATTGCATAAACCATTCGTTAATTATTTTTCGCTATTAAAACTAATATAAATGCAGTTACAAACACGCCAATACATTATTTTGATTACTTACTCAAATTAAATTGTTGAAGCATAATCAGTCAATTTGTTAATGATTGTGTTCGGAATGAATGCGATGTAATTGACATAAAAAGTTCTGGTGCTTAATATCTTTCTATGTCGCTATTAATTAGGCCACTGTACATAAAATGCAAGGATATTCACTTACTCATGCGCTAAGTATAGTATAGTAGTAGTAATATAGTTAGTAGCACGAAATCTGGAAATTTTCTTGACACATAAAATAGAGAGTTGTTGAGAAGTAGTTTGTGAGTAGGAAATGTCAGGGAAAGACAGGTTTTGTGACTAGGTATAAGTACTTTTAGAAGGTTATATAACAGTTTTTTTATTTTTTATTCAGATGGGTTGGCAGGTATTTGTTGCTAGGCATAAGGTTGATTTTATTTTAGTTTACAATGTAAAATTAATAAATTGGACACTAGTATCTTGACAGCCAGCTTTATGTGGTCAAAGAATACGTGTATTTCTTTGGTTACAAAATTTGACAGAAGAGAAGCAAAATTTGGCAGAAGAGAAGCAAAATTTGGCAGAAATAAATATAATGACAGTAGCAAGTCAATATATTTATGAAAATGTAATATACGTTCATAAAAACAAAGATAGCTTTTTGAAAAAAGTGATGTACATGCCATAAATGCCAGAAATAAAAATAAACTTGTAATACCCGCCTCTAGGCTCCAAAAGGTAAACAAGTCTTTTGTTTTGATTTTGATTTGATTGTGATTGATCTATGACTTTAGAGTCTACATAAAAGACGATTTCGAACAATTTTGAAAATTTTATGAAAAAAAGAGAGTTTGAGACAGGAGGGTAGTTTTTAGGTTTTTAGTTTCCTTCTAACAATAGAGTTGTTGAACTCTTTTTGCTATTTCCCCACTGAGCCCTCGACTAATTAAAGGCAATAATAACCTGGAAAAATAGAGCAACATACAAAATGTTCCCATGGTACATAATATGTTAAACGCGAACAGCAACGAGGCCCCAAAAATAAAAACTATCACCACGTTTCCAAGCAAACACTACAGGTTGAAAATGTCTTTAAACAGAAACCAGAAATCACTACATTTGTATTTAGAATCAGATTTTATATTATTTTTTGGAACTGTGGTCATGCATGAACATGGTTTCGTATGTATTTGGAACGTTATTAAAAAAAAATATAAATCTATTAAGGCATACTTTGCAACTTAAAAAACTACCCTACTTATTCTTGTGACTATTAAGTAAAGTTGATACCATCAAGCCAAAAGTATTCTACCCATTACTCGAAGACGATTTAAAATTACAATGAGTCTCAAGAATACATCAATGAATAAACTACAGTTAGTTACATTAAATAGTAATATTTAATTGAAAGCGAGTACCGTAGGCCGCTGGATGGGCGCCAAACGCAACAGTTCTTTAAGAGAACATGTAGGCAATCGTAACATAATATTCTCCTTCTTTCATCAGTTACTTTGGCAAGTCTCTTTTAAACAATCTTGTATGACTTTCAAAACGGTGTCTATTTGGTTAAGCGACACCATTTCCAGAGGATTTTCGGTAATTCAGAAAGCGACCACCGCCGTGACTAGTCGATTTAAAGTTAGAATGAAGTTTAATCTTTTCAGTTAGCTTTGCAAGTTACGTGACATTGATTGAAATTATTTAAGCAACGACAAGACAAAATTCTTCTGAAATTCAAGCTGGCAGTTTAAAAAAGCAATTCATCTACGATTTTTTCTAACCGTGACAGAAACTTTATAATAGCACCCCCTCTCTCCAGCAGTTGAGATAAATAACTTAAAAAACTCACAAGTACATAATCGTTGGCATGTTTCGCAATTGGGGCAAGGATAACAAATTATTGTAAAAACATTTATTTTTCCCAAAAATTGTTTTCTTCAAAAAAAAACTATTTGACAAAATTGTTTGGTAATCACAAAAAATCGGGACCCCTAATTTTATTTTAATTTATTCTACTCCGAAGGGTAAAAAAATAAGTTTGAAAAAAGAAAGTTTAAATTGAAATTTGCTCTTAGAATGCGTCCAAAAACTTAAAAATCAAATCGACGTTCTAATAAGCAAATTGTTCATCTTCATTACAGAAAATTCTCCATTTACCTATACGAAAAAAAGGTAGTCAAAAAATGTTTTTTTTCTTTTATTGTATGGAATAGGGGGCAAACGAGCAGACGGATCACCTGATGGAAAGCAACTACCACCACCCATGGACGCCTGCAACTCAGGAGTCACAAGCGCGTTGCCAGCCTTTGAGGAAGGAGTACGCTCTTTACGACCAAAAATTTATATTCGGGCTATTGCTATTTCAAAATGTCAAAATATATCCACTAAAAGTATGGACTTAGAAGATTTGCTTATTAGAAAGTCAAAATGAATAATTGATATAACAACGTGCGCTGCATGCTAGGCGATTTATTTAGAGCCGAGGTATCCGGTGTATCCACTTATTCAATTCGATTCTATGCGTCACTACAGATGCGATTCAAAAGCACATTTGTTTGAAATTAAAATACCAAAACACTTTTGTATTCATAAAATATGATATTTAATGTTGTGAATACACTTTACAACTAGGTTTCTAAGAAAATATCACTTACGCGATCGAATGTGCACTCCAATAAATTGCTGTTTTTCAGTGACATACTCAAAATGAATACGCGCGGTAGCCTACGATTTCCACATTTCTCCTGCTGTAGGTATTTCTTATAATATGTGCTCATAACTAATTATAAGTTTTTAATTATTTTTACTCTGTGTTAATACATAAGGATCCTACATCTTATATTATCGTACTAAAGAAAGGTTTGGCCTTATTTGAGTACTTGGTATAGGACACACATTACTTTTAACTTTATTAACCTGATTTCAAGAGTGACTATAGGTAAGTACCATTATAAAGATTACAGTATTAGTCCTTTGGAACTACTGTCGTAGTACAGGCAACGTGGAAGTAGCCTATGACACTTCAATAGTAAATTTTACAACAAAATACTAATTAACTACTCCTACACTCTACGTTACATTCAGAGCACTTTAATTACATGCATTAATACACGAATTGAAACTCACATTCAACTAACCTCGCTATACAGAAACTACAATCGATTTTGTTAGACATTGTCGCTTCTCGCGCGAAATGCATTCATGTGTGATATTTCATCAAAATGAACAGTAAATTGTTGAGTAGCTGACGTTGTTATATTACCTACCAAATATACTATTCGCTCACAGTAGTCTTCAATAAACGTTTAGTGCTTGACGTGTCAATAATTCTAGCATCATCCAAATTCTGGATATTCCCCAATGGAATTAAAAGGAATAAAACGGCGTGAGGGGTCTATGGACCCCCGGTCGGAACTAAGTTCCTTTCCCTTTTTGTTAGACGTTTACAATAGTGTCGCTTCGATCCGCTCAAAGCGTGTAACGCGCAATAAGGATTTTCGTTCCAAAAAACTATATTAAGTATTTACCGGCTCCTACATCTATACAGACAGGTACAGGCAAGGTTTTAAGCCCAAAGCTCTTTAGTGAGAGGGGTTACGTTTTTTATGGTAAGTATAGGGGGCAATAGCGCAGTCGGGTCACCCGATGGGCGTTGGCTAGTGACTACCACCACTCATGGACATGAGCAAGACACAAGCTCGTTAGCGTACTTTGAGTAGAGGGCACTCAAAGGACGGTAACCCCAGAACGGGAATGGGAGAGTTTGGGCTCCGGTAATCTCACTCACTCGGTAAAAAGCAATGAAAGAACTGCTTAACGCCGGTTTTTTAAGATGTTTGCTAGATCCAAGAAACTATTTGACGAATCATATAATTTTTTTGCGTCTTATACGTGACGTCTTTGTTCTACGAAAACTATTTTATTTATCAAATAGCCAACATGTTATTCATAACTGAGACTTGTAGCTCATAAGCAGTAGCTTGTGTGTTGCAGTCCATGATGCGTAATCTAAAGGAGAGGTACCAAAATTATCTCATTTAAGTACTGTTGTACAGAATATTTTAGGTTTTGAACAAGTTCATTATATTTTAAGTCAATTAAATATAGGCAAATTATGGAACTACTGCGTCAATTTATTTGTG